CCACCTGATTCGAAGAGCTGACTCATTTGAAGAGACCCTGATGCTGGGAAAGATTGAAGGCAGGAGGAGAAGGGGACGACAGAGGATGAGATGGTTGGATGGCATCACTGACTCAGTGGACACGAGTTTGAGAAAGCTCTGGGAGATGTTGAAGGATGGGGAAACCTGGCAGGCTGCAGTCCACGGGGTCACAGAGTCGGACACGACCGAGTGACTGAACAACACAGGATGTGTGAGAGTGGCTGCAGTGTAAACTCTGGACTCTGCGTGCCTATGATGTATCGAGCACAGGTTCGAGGATTATAAAAAATGCACCTCTCTAGTGGAGGATGTTGATAACGGGGAAGGCTATGCATGTGTGGGAGCAGGCATTATATAAAAAGTCTCTGTACTTTCTCCTAAATTTTGCTGTGAACCTATAGCTGCTCTAAAAAATATTAATTAAAAATTAGTGGTGCTAATTCTTCTAAAGACCATTTTATGCCCCTTTCACATTATTATTTTGGTTCAAGTTAATTTTAAATAACTTTTTAAAAAAGTCCCTTTTCAGGAATTTTCTACGCGCAGTACCAGTGATATAGGCTATGTGAACTGGCTTCCTCTCCTACTCCCGGGAAGGACTGAGTCATGGAGGGTCCTAGTGACTGGTTCAGGTGACTGTTAGTCAGGGTCAGGCCATGGAGAAGACGAATATTTCTGACCACACTCACTTGCACAATCATAAATGCCAGGATTTTTCAAAGCTTTTGTGGACAATGAAAGGTTGTTGCTGAACGATAAGATGCCGGGATTCTTGGCCTCCGGAGGAGACGAATTCAATCCGGGGCCAGAGACGAGGCTGGATCGCCCAGAGTTTTTGTGTAATAAAGTTTGATTAAAGTATAAAGGAGACAGAGAAAGCTTCTGACATAGGCATCAGAAGGGGGCAGAAAGAGTACCCCCCTTCTAGTCTTCAGCTGGATGTTATATAGTCACTAGCAGTCTGTTAAAGAAAAGAAAGGAATGTCTTAAAACTCAGAATGGCACCAGGCCCCTCATCCATAAATTGCATTTTGTGATAATTCTGGCACCAGATGATTCATCCCAGGCCATAAAACGATTGACTTGAATCTTGTAGAAGGGCAGGTTTCCATGCAAATAGTTTCGTTTACATAGATTAGGGGAACAGTATCTGAGTATAACATGCTGGTTTGTCAAGTAGGTTCTGAGCCATTTGGCAGAACTTGAAGACAAGAGTCTGGGGTACATTAACATAGCTTAAAACAAAATATTTCCATAAGAAAAAAATGTATTGGTTAATTCAAGGTTTGGGAGTAGTTAGCTTCAGGTGAAACCAGGTTTCATGGCAACACAGCTTTTTAAGAGAAACCTCCTTTTAAATTTGTATAGAGAAGGAAAAAAATATCGCCAGTTTGTTTCCTCCTGCCGCTTAAGAGAGATAAAAATGTCTGATACTTGCAACCTATTTCCTCTGTTTGGAGACCCCTGGCCTTCCTGCCTGTTACCCTCTCAACAGGACAGCAGAGGATGAGATGGTTAAATAGTATCACCAATTCAATGAATATGAATTTGATCAAAGTCCAGGAAGACAGTGAAGGACAGTGGAGTCTGGCATACTACAGTCCATGGGGTCACAAAGAGTCACAGGTAACTTAGCTACTGAACAACANCTGGTGCACTGGGAAGACCCAGAGGGATCGGGTGGAGAGGGAGGTGGGAGGGGGGACTGGGATGGGGAATACATGTAAATCCATGGCTAATTCATTTCAATGTATGACAAAAACCACTGCAATGATGTAAAGTAATTAGCCTCCAACTAATGAAAAAAAAAAAGTATGAAGTACACAAAAATGTCTGGCACTTGCAGCCTATTTCCTCCATTTGGGGACCCCTGGCCTTCCTGCCTGTTACCCTCTCAACAATCTTCATATTTCTCTCTTCCAAAATGACCTGAAACCTCCTGTGTTCCTGATAAAGGTTCTAAAACAATTCGTTGGTATCAGGATACTTTTCTTTTAAAAACTAGAGAAATTTAAAAGACTAAAGGCAAATTTAATCTTTGCCAAATTAGCTTTCCTTTACAGTAAGTGCCTGCTCCAACACACAGCACTACCCCGACAGTTTTTCCTGCCCTTCTTAACCCACCACTTGTATAGTGTATACTGTGTGCGAAAGCAGACAGAAATCCTAAGGCTCTTAACTTCTGTCCCAAGGAGTGTGCGCGTGTTTAAACCAGCTGGGCAGGTGGCTGGGTTCCTCTCAGTAAATTCACAGATGCAATAGCTGAGTTGCTTTTCACAAGTGCCTTATTTCCCAACATCCTATAAGATAAACAGGCAAGGCAGACCTTATTATTTTCTATATCAAAATGGAGCTGAGCGCAACAGCGACCTATTCATGGATCTTCCATTCATGCTCAGGAGGCAGACATTTTAATGGAAAAAATATAATAGATGCAGATGTCTGCATACCTCACACCTCATGAGGTGGTTAGATTGGTCACAGCCATGCCAAGCCTCAGAGTCTTCAACTGAAGACATGAAACCTTTATTTAGATTGATTTTCTCAGCAGTCATTATAACCTGCAGTTTGAGGGCATATTTGATATTCCCAAGAGTCTCCAAAAAGATTGGAAACAGATTCAAACATAGTTGTGAAATGAAGGGTTGAAAAAGAACTATTACTGGGAGAAAAGAAAGGTAGAAACCATGAGATATGATGAAAATAACAAATGGTGTATTTAGGAAGGTTTCTTATTCAGGGTTCAGGATGACTTCAGGTGGTCATGACTCCTTGGAATCATATGGAAAATTCTGTATGTGTGCACCTGTGTGTATTTTTCTAAGAAATTCACTCTTCAGGCCTTCAAGAGTCTGGAACCTTTCCTTCTCCCCCAAATTGAAGTTGAGGGTGGTTTCTCTCTGAATTCTTTAGTGAGCAGGCTTAAACCTTGCTTTGTATCATGATGACATTTATGTATAGTTTGTGTTTAAGTCTGCATTTCTCAACTCATTTAAAAGCCTGAAAACTACTGAATTCATTCAAATGGCTTCTCTCGGAAGCACACATTGTGCCTTGTGTTCATTAATTTTTTCTACCTCAATTTACACTTATTTTCTATATGTGACTAACATTCTCCAGGCACCAAACTCCAAATTAAATATGCTGAAATGATTTAGGATTTGGGATTATACTGCAATTATTTGTAGCCAACAGAATTAGTTATCGTCTACAAGATCTGTCCAGCCATGTCCATCGCTAATGAAAGGCAGTTCTGCCTTAACTCTGCTTGGCTCCACCCTCAGTCCTGCCTGAGAAGCCTACAAAGTCACCTTGTTTTTTTGTTTCCTTTTCGCTTTCTGATACTCTTCCTGGCAGTTTATTACTTTCTTGCTTTTTCTAGAAGGATGTAGACATTTTAAAGCACCCTATTATTGGCATTATAATGATTTTATGAGCATGTTTCAAAGTTAGTAAATGTAGCCTTTTTAAAGAATAAAAAATGTGAAATCTTTGGCAAGGCTTTGAAAACACTGTAGTGTACTTTCCACAGAGCAGGGGGAAATTGGGAGGCGCTGGTCGAAGGGTATGCGGTGTTGGTCACACAAGACGAGTAAGTCCTAGAGATCTGCTGTGGAGCACAGAACGTATCGTCCTCACGCACACATGCACACACACACACAACAATAGAGGGCAGGAGAAAACTTTCAGAGGCGTCAGACGGGTTTATGGCACAGACTGTGGTGATTTCCCAGGTGTACACTTATCCCTGAACTCATCAAGTTGTATACATTAAATATGTACAACTTTTGTACGTCAACCATATCTCAGTAAAGTGGTTTAAGAAAAAGATAATTGCCTTTGTGGAGTCCTAAAGGAAATCAACCTTGAATGTTCACTGGAAGGACTGATGCTGAAGCTGAAGCTCTGATACTTTGGCCACCTGATGCAAAGAGCTGATTAACTGGAAGAAAAAGACCCTGATGCTAGGAAAGATTGAAGGCGGGAGGAGAAGGGGATGACAGATGGTTGGATGGCACCACTGACTCAGTGGACATGAGTTTGAGCAAACTCTGTAAAGTGGTGAAGAACAGGGAGGCCTGGTGTGCTGCAGTCCATGGGGTGGCAAAGAGTCGGACACATCTTAGCGACTAAAGAACAAGAGTGCTTCATAGCTCTTAACACATTCTCTTATGTACTGCCTTATTTATTTGTCCAAACAACTCAGCAAAGCAGCCAGCATTACCATCCAGTTTTACAAATAAGGAATCAAGCTTGGAGGCTTTGAGCCTCAGGTCACCTACTGACCTTTTGTAGAAGTCAAAGTCAGGACTTTTGAATCCAGGATGGCCTCACCACATGCCTGTCTCGATTTTTTTTCTTACGCTCCAATGAAGACAAATCTCAAATACACATGCCCTCATATTAATATACACCAACAAAGAGTATAGAATAAAATTCTCTAGAGCAAGATTTGGGAGGGGTAGGTATTTAGGCTGTGGATCCCTGGACAGTTTGGTGACACCTTTCTCCAAACATTTATAAATATGTAGAATGAAAATATATAGAATTACAAAGGAAACAAAATATATCAAAATAGAGTTACTAAGATATTGTAAAATGTGTAACAATGTACTTCTTTATTAAGACAGTAAATACCAAGGATCTGTCCAATATCTAGCATACTTTGAAGCAGTGAAAGCATAAATGACATTTCAAGGCATCTGCAAGAACAGTGAGAGGATATGAAAACAATGGATTTCTATTCAAAGTGCTAACCAGCTGTGATTGTTGCCTAAATTTCACTTAGAGACTATCCAAAAATAAAGATGCAATCTTTTTTTTCCTCCTCGTCCAAATTCAGGGACCCCTGAAGTCTGGGTCTTGGGCTGAACACCCTGCCCTGGACTCTAGGCCAGGGGGACACAGCCCCTGGCCCGCTCTTCCTTCCAGCGGGCGGCGTCAGCCCCCCTTTTTCCCTTTTAAAGAGCGGCGCTTACCTTCCAGGTTCTCACACTGGACCAGGTTGACGTAGTCCTGCCGGGTCAGGAGGCCGGCCTTGCAGCCGCGCACCAAGCCCTCCAGGTAGCCGTGGTCGGCGTTGAAGTTCAGCTCTGCGCTTTCGAGCATCGCGGGAGCGGCCGCCGGAGGCTGCAGCGACGCGCGGGTCCGGAGGGGCGCGCGGGTCCAGGGGGTTGCGGGTCCGGAGGGGTTGCGGGTCCCCAGGGACGCGGGTTTGGAGGGGCACTCGGGTCTGCAGGGGCGCGCGGGTCTGGAAGCGAGCGCGCGGTTCTCTCGGGTGGCCAGACGGCGATCTCTCAGCTGATAGTCACGCTGTGGTGACCGGTTTCCTCCGCTTTCAGTGGCTTTCCACACAGCCGGCCCAGCCCTGTTTTTCCATCCACAGTGGATCAGCCAGATAACCCTAGGGGGACCCGGGAGCAAAGCCCTGCAGGGAGCCGGGGGTCGTGGGAGGGACGGAGGGTCAGACGCCCGGTCCCGGGCCGCTCCGCTATTGCAACCCGGCTACACCTAAATGTTGTGCAAACAGTCCTCCCCGAGCCGCGCGCTTCTGTGCTTTCAATTGCAAATTACATTCTTCTTAAAAGTCTTGAGGGCTACTAAGAAGAGAGGCGTTTCTCTCTCTCTCTCTCTCTCACACACACACACACACACCCCACGCACACCTTAAGTGAACAGACCGAATGTGGGCAGGCGGTTTGGAGAACCCCGACAAGCTCATTTGGCAGCACAGTGTCTGCAAAACAAAACTCTAGTGATGCCCTGCGCTTAGCCGCTCAGTCCTGTCCGACTCTTTCCGACCCCGTGCGCTGTAGCCCGCCAGGCTTCTCTGCCCATGGGAATTCTCCAGGCAAGAATCCTGGAGTGGGTTACCATGCCCTCCTCCAGGGGATCTTCCTGACCCAGGGTTCGAACCCAGGTCTCCTGCATTGCGGGCTGGTTCTTTACCGTCTGAGACACCAGGGAGGCCCTGGGAATGCCTTACGCTGCTCCAAGTCTCCTAGCTGCTTCCCTCTCAGCTCGGGCCTGGGGCAGAGAACAGAAGGCAATCTTGGAAGCAGGTACACAGCGCTGTGATTCTATAGTTATAAGCCACTGTCTTTGCAAAATCTGAGTTTTTAGGAGGTGCTCTTCATTCTCTTTTTCCCTTTTCAGTTCAGTTCAGTTCATTCGCTCAGTCCTGTCCAACTGTTTGCGACCCTATGAACCGCAGCACGCCAGGCCTCCCTGTCCATCACCAACTCCTGGAGTCCACCCAAACCCATGTCCATTGAATCGGTGATGCCATCCAGCCATCTCATCCTCTGTCACCCCCTTCTCCTCCTGCCCTCAGTCTTTCCCAGCATCAGGGTCTTTTCAAATGAGTCAGCTCTTCGCATCAGGTGGCCAAAGTATTGGAGTTTCAGCTTCAGCATCAGTCCTTCCAATGAACACCCAGGACTGATCTCCTATAGGGTGGACTGGCTTTCCCTTTTAGGTCTCAGGATTTACTCAGAGGAGTATCTGGACTGATCCTGTTACTGAGGTAGGTCCTGTCCTGCTCTTTACTGTAGCCCCTCCAGGCTCCTCTGTCCAGGGAATTTTCCAGCAAGAATTCTGGACTGGGTTGCCATTTCCTACTCCAGGGGATGTAGCCCTACGCCTGGGGCTTCCCTGGCACCTCAGTCAGTGGAGAATCCTCCTGCAATGCAGGAGACCTGGGTTCAATCCCTGGTTGGGAAGATCCCCTGGAGAAGGGCATGGCAACCCACTCCAGGATTCTTGCCTGGAGAAGCCCATGGACAGAGGAGCCTGGTGGGCTGCAGTCCATGGGGTCGCAAAAGTCAGACCTGACTTAGCGACTTAGCCACCACCACCTCTCCAGGGGATCTTACCTACCCAGGGCTCCAGCCTAGTCTCTGATGTCTCCTGCATTGGCAGGCTGGTTCCTCATCACTTCTCCACCTGGGACGCCATAGTGTTCATGTGGTGGTTTAGTGGCTAAGTCCTCTTGGACTCTTTGTGACCCCAGGGATCAAACGCACAGAAGCCATAGTATGATTACCCAGATCACAAGTAAGGAACCGACTCTCAGAAGTTGGGAGGCAGCTCAGAAGGCACAGCATAATTAAGCCGGGATGTGATTGTTATTTCCTGCTCCCCAAAGGAACTCTGGTTCTCCCTTATACCTAGCTCAAAAATTGTGCCAAGTATCCTGAACATGATTTTACACATGTTGTATTTCACTGTCAAATGTTATATCAAATTCTTAATTGAAGTTAAAGTGTCAGAAATTCTCCAGTATTTCTAAGTCTTTCTCAGTATTTCTCAGACCATGTGCCATGCAGCAGGGCAGCTCTCTGGGGTTCCCTTACCCTGATGCCCTCCGGCCTCTTCCCAATAAAAGTCTTTTGCTTTGTCAGTAGGTGTGTCTCCTCGGACAGTGTATTTCCCAATGTTACACAAGAGCCCACTCTTGGGCTCTGAGGGGGTGCCCCTTCTGGTAACAGTTACTTTGTGAATTGCAAAAAATTTGAAGAAATAATCTTTCAGTATTCAAAAACCATCGACTGCTTCTTTTTTTCAACAAAGAAGCCAGTCACGTTACATATGTCTTCATTGTTTCATTTTTGTGCTACTCATTAATGTGAATAAAAATACCAGCCAACCATCATTGGAACTACACCTGTTTGTCAGTTGCAACCAGATGTTGGCAACAGATACTAGAGCTGAACAAAAATCAATGAAGGCATACTGTGAAAATCAATAGGCTAAATGGAATTTATATGAAAAAATATTATTTTATTGTTATTTGTAAGTTGGGTGATACATATCCATTATATCATAGAATTTATGAGAAACATATGTACCTATTTTGGAAGGACAGCCAGTTCTTAAGCATTTACAGTGCAACACAAAATCTTCACACACTCAAAAAAGAATGGATTTTGTGTGTGTGTGAAAAGTTGTTTCTCATATTTTATATTCATAAGCAGATAAGTTCCAATGTTTCTTTAAAATTATACACATCTACTTTGTCTACTTTTATGCAATTGGAGGATGAGGTAAGCAAAGTATTTCCCTTTTTCTTGGATGAGCAGACATGTCTTATTCTTGCTAAAGATACTTATAAAAAATGAGATCAAACTCATGGGCTATGAGAGGAAACCCAGTACAGTGACAATAATCTAGAGCTTCTTCTTAAATGGGTCCTTCTGGTGGAAACATAATAAAAATATTCACTTCCATCTTTAAACTATCAGTGATGTTTAGGAGAGTGGGCTTTGGCGTGTGACAGAGCATGGTTTTAAATGACTTCTTTCCTCTGAGTGCCAGTGTTTTCATGTGTAAAATGAAGGTAATAACACCTCGGTTTGTTGTAAATATTAAATGAGATACAACCCTAAATATACTTAGCAAGGGTGGGTATATGTGCTAAGAAGCAGCTGCAACGGCTTCTCCTCTTCCTCTTGTTACTGTAAAACACTGTAATTTCAGTTCATCAACTAGACTGCATTCCTGAAAGCCAGCAACAGTATCTTATTCATCTTTCTGTCTCTCAAGTGCCTACTAGCATGCTTTGAGGGAAGCAGATACTCAATAGCTGTCCACTGGATAAAGTTACCCTTACAGAATCTTTAGCTCCATGTGTCTCTAGGAAACACTATATTTGGAAATTGTATTTGAAGAATGAAGGTATTTTGTGGGTTTCTATGGTTTTTCCCGTGGTCATGTATGGATGTGAGAGTTGGACTTTAAAGAAAGCTGAGCACGGAAAAATTGGTGCTTTTGAACTGTGGTGTTGGAGAAGACTCTTAAGAGTCCCTTGGACTGCAAGGAGATCCAACCAGTCCATCCGAAAGGAGATCAGTCCTGGGTGTTCATTGGAAGGACTGATGCTGAAGCTGAAACTCCAATACTTTGGCCACCTGATGCGAAGAGTTGACTCATTGGAAAAGACCCTGATGCTGGGAGGGATTGGGGGCAGGAGGAGAAGGGGGTGACAGAGGATGAGATGGCTGGATGGCATCACTGACTTGATGGACATGAGTTTGAGTAAACTCCGGGAGTTGGTGATGGACAGGGAGGCCTGGCATGCTGTGGTTCATGGGGTTGCAAAGAGTCGGACACGACTGAGCGACTGAGCTGGACTGGACTGGACTGAGGCTCTCGGGAGGACCCGAGGAAGCAAAGAAGATCCAGGCCGCTCCCACGAGCAGTCCCCTGCAGGTCGCCATGTGGCTGACCAAGCAAGCCGGGGCTAAACTCTGAGGTAGTTGTGGACAGCCACACCCGCCCTCAAACGGTCCCTCAGACTGTCTTTAAGGGCCGCGCTGTGTTGGATTCACCCTGGGGTGGGCCCGGGGTGCCATCCTCAATGACAAAGTCAAAGGCCAAGTCAAGGCCTTTCTTAAAGCTCTCAGCACTTAAACAGTCTGTGTTGCAACTTTCACCTCTGCCTGTGCAGCAGTCCTCGATCACATAAGCAAATGAACTTGACTGTTTTCCAGTACCACTTCACCAAAACCATGTGCCGCGCCAGATTTGGCCTCTGGATCACAGTTTCTGGGGCTGCTCTATAACATCGCCCATCTCCTCCCTTCCCTAAATGACTGTCAAGGAAACCCAAGATACCTTATGTTTTGTCCATAAATATTTCAGTATCTCTAAAAGACAAAAACCCATTAGTAATAATATAATATTATGTGAGTGTGTGTGTTAGTCACTCAGTTGTGTCCAGCTTTTTGTGATACCATGAACTGTAGCCCATCAGGTTCCTCTGTCCATGGAGGTTTCCAGACAAGAAGACTGGAGTGGGTAACCATTTGCTTCTCCTTGGGATCTTCCCAAACAAGGGATCAGACCTGAGTCTCCTGCATTGCAGTCAGATTCTTTACCATCTGAGCCACCGGGAAAGTCCATTGATGTATAAGTAAGTAAGTAAGTAAGTAAAGTTGCTCAGTCGCGTCCGACTCTTTGCGACCCCATGGACTGTAGCCTACCAGGCTCCTCTGTCCATGGGATTCTCCAGGCAAGAGCAATGGAGTGGGTTGCCACTTCCTTCTCCGGGGGATCTTCCCGACCCAGGGATTGAACCCGGGTCTCCAGCATTGCAGACAGACGCTTTACCGTCTGAGCCGCCAGTATGTACTATACTATATCTTAATGACCTGGATAACCACAGTGGTGTGGTTACTCACCTAGAACTTAACATCCTGGAGTGTGAAGTCAAGTGGGGCTTAGGAATAATTACTACAAAAGAAGCTAGTGGAGGTGATGAAATTTCAGCTGAGCTGTTTCAAATCCTAAAAGATGATGCCATTAAAGTGCTACACTCAATATGCCAGCAAATTGGGAAAACTCAGCAGTGGCCACAGGACTGGAAAAGGTCAGTGTTCATTCCAGTCCTGAAGAAAGGCACTG